ACTTTAAATTCATCATAAAACAGTTCGAAAGGAGGGCTCACTCGTGAAATGTTTTTCAACACTCGAAGAGAAATTTCGTGTCTCTGCGCGGCCACGAAATATCCTCTATTTATTCCTCGAGTAATTAAAGACTAAACTCGAAGTAATCTCAAGATATCACGAAGTAGTCCGATCTCATTTCGTGAAATAGTTGAAACAAGCCGAAAAGTCACGAACTTACACGCCCAATCTTGTCCCCAAACTAGTGCATCATTTCATAACTATTTTTCATATCCTAAACTACCGTGGGTCGCAGTAGCGCAATCGGCTAATCCCTCAACTTAGAGTCTCCTCTGATCTGACGGGTCACACAAGTGAGTCGGTTCAAACCCCGGGAAGGCCAAAATAGTAATTCTTTCTTCCTCGAAAAAGTTAAAGGATAAATCAAAGAAATCGAAGTGATCTCGAGATATCTCGAACTAATTCGGCTCTTACTTCGTCAAATAGCCGAATAGAGCCGGAAACCTACAGACTTTGCATGCCCAATCTTGTCAAAAAATTGCAACTTTGATACATTCCTGAGCGTCGCGAAACCTTTACTTCGCGCTCCGCCGAAGTAAATATCATGTGAGCCACTGTTAAAACCTTGATGCATTCATTTCTCGGAATAACAAGCCAGGTGCTCTTGAAATTCCCGGAAAAATACTCAGGCCCTGAGGATTATATCTCTAGCTATCTTCCAGTCAAGTGTGGAAAGTGAAGACCGTAATCAGCACAGCCGATAGCCGACCCACACGCCAAGCCAATATTAAACTTCCTTGTTTGAATCGCGGGCGCTGATTTATCGAAGCTTACACGCTGTCATCCAGATTTTTTTGTCTAATTTGCAAGTCAATGTGATCATGGAAAGTGAAGACAGAGAAAATTCCTCAGCCTCCGAAAACAAAATGGAAACCCAACAGATTTTTTCCTCTATCGGTCAAGGATGCGTACAAGAGTCGGAATTTCTCCTCCTGTACCCTTCAAATATGGTTACTCCTTCACCAGACAAAAACGAACATTATATATGGCAAACAAAATTGAACAAGTGTAAAATATGAGGAGCCCATAACCTTGATGATAAAAGTGGCCACAGTTTCGTCCATTTAAGGTTCCTAAGTATGCTTAGACCTCTGGTTAAATTCATCTTCAAAAATTGGGGGTGATCCACAGGGACAGTCCAGCAGTCCATGGACCGGGTCCACCCAGGGGTCCGGGGTCCGTTGACCGAGGTTCCATGTTTTGTACATGTTGTTGGTAACATGCCCAGGCTGGTTTAAAAACCCCATTAAGAGAACCTTCTTTCAATTGGGCGCCACCAAACAATTAGTGACATTCATACATTTTTAAATAGTTTCCCGGAAACACATCTCAGGTGGCTCGGAAATTCCCGGAAAAATTTAGAGCCGAAAAAGTGCTTAGTGAAGCAATTTAAATTAACAAGCTACTGAGGCACTGAGAGTCTTATTCCGTCTTCAAGTCAACAAAAAAACTATTGTGTGTGTGTGTCCGGTATGGAAGGTGTTGCACATATAAAGGGATCCTCTGATACGTTAACCTTTCGCCGTCGAAAATCTGATCGCCGCACTTCCTTCTTTGATAGAAGTTGAAAGGGAATTGTCGACGACCTACAGACGTTACAGATTTTTTGATTCCCTCGGGCAAGTTAAGGAAATTGGTGACAATGGAAAGCGAGGACAGCGCTTCGAGTTCCTCAGTCTCCGGAACTGAAACAGAAACCCAGCCGAAAGATAGTGATTTCGAGGCGGGATTCACAGCTCGTCCTTACCAAGTGGAATTACTAGAAAGGGCTCTGGAAAGAAACACAATCGTTTGTCTCGGAACAGGAACTGGAAAAACATTCATCAGTGTAATGCTAATAAAGGAACTTTCTCACCAGATCAGAGAAATCTACCACAACGGTGGAAAAAGAAGTTTCTTCCTTGTTAATACAGGTTAGAAAGTATTTGTTTACGTTTTGTGGTAAATGGAGGGGGTGGAGGTGAGGTTTGTACGGGCTGTATGTGTAGCGTACCGGTGTCGTTTTCAATTTGCGATATTCTCTTAAATTAAATTTGATCTTAAAGTGATTCGCTGGTTTTCACTGCACATCTCTTACAGCACAAAACAAGATGGCCGCCGTGAAAAAGAGCATCTGACGTAACATTACTAAAATGAAGTTAACTGAAGAGAAATGCTATTGGAATTTTCGCTTGCGGTTGTTTCTTGTCGAGATGAAACTCAATGTGTTGGAAATGTGCATAACGTAAGCAGTACGTACGCGTGTTGCTGAGTTCGACTCCTTCACGGAGAAGCTAAATACACTTTGATTTTCATTTAAGCGCCATCTTTATTACATTGTGTCCTAACTGTGATATCTCGATGCGAACCCGGTAAAAGGGGGTTTTCTAATGCTTTCCCCCCCCCCCCCCCCTTCCACATACATCCCACTTTGAAACTCGTTCCAGTCCTCTCTCAAAAATAGGAGGTAATACATTTGGTGCGCACTTTCTGCAGCTCTACTGCAAAAACGAGTACGGTGATCCCCATTTTTTATTTCACGATCTTAATAGGAACAATGCTTCCTTTCAATGAAAAAAAATTGGCATAAATCTGTGTTCAGTTTTTTTCAGCAATTTTACTAAATTGTACGGATCGAGCTATAACGGGTCGAATAGCGCGTGTGCCAAATAAGTCTACTTTGAGGTGTAAAGTAAAACCAAGGGCGTTAAAAGGCGTTTTGTGGTACCTAAGTCGATAAACAACACATTTAAGTCAAATTCTGTGCGAAACCACATGCATTGTCGAAAAAATCTCTCCTTTTTGTCTAGTTTTGAGCTGCGCTCGGTTTTTGCCAAAGGGTCCCAAATAGCCGTATTTGTCAGCATTGTGACGTGAAAACGAGCTGAGTGATCCCCACTTTTATTACATTTTTATCATCTTCTTGACGTGTTACATCAGTGTACCAAGTTTCATCTACAATCTATGTTAGATTCTTTTACTAGGGAATCACCCTTAATTGCACTGTAATTTGATTTAAAATTTTTTGGCTTTTAAAATCAGTACAGTATGTGGACCTTGGTCCGCACGAAAAAAAGACGTAAATGAGTATTTCTTATCTTAGAAGAGGAGTAGGGAGCTGAAATTTGTCCTGTAAGTTGCCGAAACATTTAACTAACTTGTGACAAACCTACAGCTTCTGAGCTTTGCCGAAAACCCTGCATCATAGAAAATGACCGCTCCGTTTGAAGGTCCCTGGTCCGACCAGTGGTTCCTCGGTCCGGCCACTTGTACCCCGGCATGCAAACTGTGCGCAAAAAGAAACGTTCCAAGCACCAACTGATCTAAATTCCCGTATATTTTCTATAGGCATCATTCTTACTCCGAAACCAAAGTGAGATTTCTGTGTAAAGAGCTATAGTTTGGTCTCATGTGCATGAAGAATTAATAGTTTCGCCTCTGTGCGAAAGTGTGTCGTGCAGTTACGATGCGACGGCAGCGAAATCGCCACATTTTAAATGAATTCAGTCAAAGTTTAGAGGCGGAGAAAAATTTAATTTGTCGTCGCTTGTCAAAAAAAAAAACTTCCCATCAGGAAATTTCATGCAGCAACGGCAAAGAAATCCGACCGTCAAGCGTGCGTCATCATCCACGTACAGTCCGTGCGGAGTAATGTTTTGCTGGTTAAACCCTTTAAGCCCTAGCCTGAGAAAACAGCCGACATTTGGCGACGCTACCACTGCTTTCCCCGCCAAGTGACGTCTGAGATACAAGCGCACAAATTCCATACTGATGACGCATCACTACCCAGATCTGGGTAGTGCTTCTGATTGGTCGTGCTCCGTGGGAAATTTGATTCAACCTCCGCTTATTGAAAGTGCTTTACTGAAAATGTGACTCATAGTCGAAAGATCCTCACTTCAATTCATAAATCTTAATTTACAATGAACTAAACGAAGCGAAAACTAAACTTTCTGAGGCTCTCCCTTTTCAATCACTATTTGGCTAGGGCCAAGTACGCAAAATTTACTTGAGAATATTGTCTAAAACTTTGGTTTCAAAATTCAACCTGTCGACCAAATTTTTTTTTTGCACTTTGAAAGAACATTTCTTGTACACCATGTACACCAAAAATTAGCTTTCTTAACGCACTTAATCGCATATGCGTGAATTAAAAATATATCCAAATAATTAAAGGCGCCATAAAAAGACAACACTTACAGAACAAAATTCACCTACGTTCGTGTTAACTTGATTTTCCAGCCTTTCCTAACATCAGGACAACCTCTAATCGAGCCTAAGAAGGCAAACAGATCATTAAAAACTCGGAAATTTTGTTTGTATTGTAACCTTATTTTCTTCCCGAAAATTTCATCGCAAAGTAAAACCGGCCGGACCAAGGACCACCAATGCAGACGTACTGTACATTCTCGAACACGCTAAGATTTACACCACAAGTCACCTAGCATTCACTTATTAATAAATATGTACCCCCTGCGGCAAAGTGAGAACTAGCTTTTGCCTTTAATATTCCCTAAGTTTCTATAAATTTCGTAGGCATTTATAATCATAGCAGTTTGTAGTGTAAACAACCAAAACCGATCAAACTTATAATGATCAGCTCTTTCCTTTGAAGCTATCGACAACCATAATTCATGATAAATGCAAATTATGTTATTTGGGGAACTGTACAAAAAACCTTAGATTAACAACTTGTTACAATGGGGTCTTTTGACCAGCTAATATATTTTATTTTCTCTCAGTTCCTTTAGCCATCCAGCAAGCCAGGGTGATTAAGAAACACACAGATTTGAAGGTGAAGCATTACGTTGGCGAGATGGGAGTCGACCTCTGGAACAAAAATAAGTGGGAAAATGAGTTCAATGAAAACAATGTCTTGGTGATGACTGCCCAGATTTTTCTCAATCTTCTACACCATGGTTTCACCAAGCTTTCACAAGTAAATCTTCTGATATTTGATGAATGCCATCATGCCAAGAAGAGTCATCCATACAAGCAAATCATGAACCGCTTTGTTGGTTGCCAAGAAGCTGACTATCCAAAGATCATGGGTCTAACAGCATCCGTAGTAAACAAAAAAGTGAAACCAGGGAAAATTGAATCTGAAATCCAAGAACTGGAATGTACACTGAGGTCAACATGCGAGACAAGTCAAGATGAAGATGTTGGGAAGTTTGCTTCAAAACCAAATGAACAGATCATTCAGTTTTCAAATGCCAACTTTGACGACAGCACAATCATCTTACTTCAAAAACTTCAAGAAGTTTTAAGACCAGAAATAAACTACCTTGGTGACTATGAAGTGCAAGGGAATGGTGTATCATTGGCTGCTCACTCGTTTGCCTTGTGGGCACTGACAGAGTGTCAGGAGATTTTATCAGAAATTGGTCCCTGGGCTGCCAACAAAGTTGCAGGATACTTAATCAAGGACCTACAAGGTAAAGTGGCGGATCCAGACCTTCAGATAAGGGGGAGGGGGGGGGGGGTTCCCCCCCCCCCCCCTTCCACATACATCCCACTTTGAAACTCGTTCCAGTCCTCTCTCAAAAATAGGAGGTAATACATTTGGTGCGCACTTTCTGCAGCTCTACTGCAAAAACGAGTACGGTGATCCCCATTTTTTATTTCACGATCTTAATAGGAACAATGCTTCCTTTCAATGAAAAAAAATTGGCATAAATCTGTGTTCAGTTTTTTTCAGCAATTTTACTAAATTGTACGGATCGAGCTATAACGGGTCGAATAGCGCGTGTGCCAAATAAGTCTACTTTGAGGTGTAAAGTAAAACCAAGGGCGTTAAAAGGCGTTTTGTGGTACCTAAGTCGATAAACAACACATTTAAGTCAAATTCTGTGCGAAACCACATGCATTGTCGAAAAAATCTCTCCTTTTTGTCTAGTTTTGAGCTGCGCTCGGTTTTTGCCAAAGGGTCCCAAATAGCCGTATTTGTCAGCATTGTGACGTGAAAACGAGCTGAGTGATCCCCACTTTTATTACATTTTTATCATCTTCTTGACGTGTTACATCAGTGTACCAAGTTTCATCTACAATCTATGTTAGATTCTTTTACTAGGGAATCACCCTTAATTGCACTGTAATTTGATTTAAAATTTTTTGGCTTTTAAAATCAGTACAGTATGTGGACCTTGGTCCGCACGAAAAAAAGACGTAAATGAGTATTTCTTATCTTAGAAGAGGAGTAGGGAGCTGAAATTTGTCCTGTAAGTTGCCGAAACATTTAACTAACTTGTGACAAACCTACAGCTTCTGAGCTTTGCCGAAAACCCTGCATCATAGAAAATGACCGCTCCGTTTGAAGGTCCCTGGTCCGACCAGTGGTTCCTCGGTCCGGCCACTTGTACCCCGGCATGCAAACTGTGCGCAAAAAGAAACGTTCCAAGCACCAACTGATCTAAATTCCCGTATATTTTCTATAGGCATCATTCTTACTCCGAAACCAAAGTGAGATTTCTGTGTAAAGAGCTATAGTTTGGTCTCATGTGCATGAAGAATTAATAGTTTCGCCTCTGTGCGAAAGTGTGTCGTGCAGTTACGATGCGACGGCAGCGAAATCGCCACATTTTAAATGAATTCAGTCAAAGTTTAGAGGCGGAGAAAAATTTAATTTGTCGTCGCTTGTCAAAAAAAAAAACTTCCCATCAGGAAATTTCATGCAGCAACGGCAAAGAAATCCGACCGTCAAGCGTGCGTCATCATCCACGTACAGTCCGTGCGGAGTAATGTTTTGCTGGTTAAACCCTTTAAGCCCTAGCCTGAGAAAACAGCCGACATTTGGCGACGCTACCACTGCTTTCCCCGCCAAGTGACGTCTGAGATACAAGCGCACAAATTCCATACTGATGACGCATCACTACCCAGATCTGGGTAGTGCTTCTGATTGGTCGTGCTCCGTGGGAAATTTGATTCAACCTCCGCTTATTGAAAGTGCTTTACTGAAAATGTGACTCATAGTCGAAAGATCCTCACTTCAATTCATAAATCTTAATTTACAATGAACTAAACGAAGCGAAAACTAAACTTTCTGAGGCTCTCCCTTTTCAATCACTATTTGGCTAGGGCCAAGTACGCAAAATTTACTTGAGAATATTGTCTAAAACTTTGGTTTCAAAATTCAACCTGTCGACCAAATTTTTTTTTTGCACTTTGAAAGAACATTTCTTGTACACCATGTACACCAAAAATTAGCTTTCTTAACGCACTTAATCGCATATGCGTGAATTAAAAATATATCCAAATAATTAAAGGCGCCATAAAAAGACAACACTTACAGAACAAAATTCACCTACGTTCGTGTTAACTTGATTTTCCAGCCTTTCCTAACATCAGGACAACCTCTAATCGAGCCTAAGAAGGCAAACAGATCATTAAAAACTCGGAAATTTTGTTTGTATTGTAACCTTATTTTCTTCCCGAAAATTTCATCGCAAAGTAAAACCGGCCGGACCAAGGACCACCAATGCAGACGTACTGTACATTCTCGAACACGCTAAGATTTACACCACAAGTCACCTAGCATTCACTTATTAATAAATATGTACCCCCTGCGGCAAAGTGAGAACTAGCTTTTGCCTTTAATATTCCCTAAGTTTCTATAAATTTCGTAGGCATTTATAATCATAGCAGTTTGTAGTGTAAACAACCAAAACCGATCAAACTTATAATGATCAGCTCTTTCCTTTGAAGCTATCGACAACCATAATTCATGATAAATGCAAATTATGTTATTTGGGGAACTGTACAAAAAACCTTAGATTAACAACTTGTTACAATGGGGTCTTTTGACCAGCTAATATATTTTATTTTCTCTCAGTTCCTTTAGCCATCCAGCAAGCCAGGGTGATTAAGAAACACACAGATTTGAAGGTGAAGCATTACGTTGGCGAGATGGGAGTCGACCTCTGGAACAAAAATAAGTGGGAAAATGAGTTCAATGAAAACAATGTCTTGGTGATGACTGCCCAGATTTTTCTCAATCTTCTACACCATGGTTTCACCAAGCTTTCACAAGTAAATCTTCTGATATTTGATGAATGCCATCATGCCAAGAAGAGTCATCCATACAAGCAAATCATGAACCGCTTTGTTGGTTGCCAAGAAGCTGACTATCCAAAGATCATGGGTCTAACAGCATCCGTAGTAAACAAAAAAGTGAAACCAGGGAAAATTGAATCTGAAATCCAAGAACTGGAATGTACACTGAGGTCAACATGCGAGACAAGTCAAGATGAAGATGTTGGGAAGTTTGCTTCAAAACCAAATGAACAGATCATTCAGTTTTCAAATGCCAACTTTGACGACAGCACAATCATCTTACTTCAAAAACTTCAAGAAGTTTTAAGACCAGAAATAAACTACCTTGGTGACTATGAAGTGCAAGGGAATGGTGTATCATTGGCTGCTCACTCGTTTGCCTTGTGGGCACTGACAGAGTGTCAGGAGATTTTATCAGAAATTGGTCCCTGGGCTGCCAACAAAGTTGCAGGATACTTAATCAAGGACCTACAAGGTAAAGTGGCGGATCCAGACCTTCAGATAAGGGGGAGGGGGGGGGGGGCAGCCATCCTGACCCTGAGATATGGGGAGGGTGGCCGGTCTCCAAAAAGGGGCGGGGGGGGCAGGCCCTTCCCCTGGATCGGCCACTGAAGGTATGGTCTAAATGGCAGGGTTGTCAAGCAGTACCCAGTGGTCCCCTTGTCTCTCTTTGTTGTTATTTTTTGTCTTCATTCAAACCATATTGTGGGTTCCTCCAATTTTTAGTTTCTTCGAGTGCAGCCTTGAAGTGCATGATGAAGAGCATACTTAAGAGGATCTTAACAATTACATAGCAAAGCATAAGCAATTGAAAATTGAAATAACTGCTTGTTCAAAGTAAGGATTTTATAGTGTTAGACCATTATTTTTTTGTTATGATCTAAACTTAGAAACAAGTAATTATAAAGAGATTTCATGCCTTTTCTTGGTCATGTAATACTGCATAGAATTTTTTGTATATTAATAAGGGTAGGAACTTGTTTTTTAGTTTTTATAGACAGAGCGTGCATGTTTCAAGACTGCAAGGAAGGAAGAAAGTTCTGTGAGTTTAGCAAAACACAGCTGAAACAACTACAAGGTGTTTATAACAATTATACATCCACTCTTGGCAGTGGGGAGACTGGCAGCACTGAAAAGTTATACGTAATGCCCAAAGTAAAGGAGCTGTTGTCTGTTTTAAAAAAAGAATATGGGAATGCACAAAACAGTGGTGAGTTAGTCAGTTTGGATAATTGTAACAAAATGCTTGCAAATGGACTCAAATTTCTTGCATTTATATATCTTAAAGCTGTCCCAGTAATTAATTTCATCTAAAACTATCCTTCCTTTGGGTAGAAGCAAAGTGTCCTTGACATTTTTTAATCTGATATGAAGCAAAGGAAATCAAGAACAAATGCAATCAACACTAAACCACCTAGGTACAGAGCGTGCGCTCCCTATTAGATGCCTTGTATGGTCCCACATCTCAACCCAGCCTGCTGCAAAAAAGTGTCCCCATTCTGAAATCTTACAGCCTACTCATGAAAAAAGGTTTTACGTAGTAGTATTTCCGAACCTGTGAGCAAGCTCCCTTGGGGATATCTGGGCTCCACACGGAAGATAAAGCGACTTTTTGACCCAGTGGAATGAAGACACCGCATAGAATTGGGGTAATGCATTGCGACTGAAATGCTTTTAGACTAAGTAGATGAGGTTTGGGAGAGGTTCTTCCTTTTCCCTAAATCCTATCCCCCAAACCAAGAGAAAAAGTAGAGAGAATAAGAGAGCATGTTCACAGACTGCCAAACACGTGGCTGTGTCCAAGCCTTAAGCTTTTGTCCTTTGCTCCTCACAGACCGTCTTGAGTCTCATCTTGGGTTTCTTGATTTGAAAAGAAACAGAATGCATCAGTCTGCAGGTTGGACGTGCAATGAAAATCTTCACTAGCGTACTATTGTTTTTTGTTTATAGAGAACAAGCTTTGTGGCATAGTGTTTGTAGAAAGGCGATGCACAGCTCTGGTACTCAGCGAGCAGATAAACATTGCCGCAAAATCAGATCCTGAGTTGTCCTTCATCGAGAGCAGCTTTGTGATTGGCCATGGCACAGGTGGAAAGGCTAATTACTCCAATGAAACAGAGATGAACTTCAAAAAGCAAGAAGAGGTACTGCGACAGTTCAGGCGACATGAATTCAACCTTTTGATTGCAACTTCGGTTGTTGAGGAAGGGTTGGATATCCCAAAGTGCAACTTGGTGTGCCGGTTCGACTTTCCAATGACACTCCGTTCCTATGTGCAATCAAAGGGCCGAGCACGTGCCAAGGATTCCAACTATATAATCCTTGTAGATGAGGAAGAGTACGAGGAAAAGCGAGGCGAATTGGAGGTTAGTGATCATTTCTTCACTGTGTGAATAAGAATGTTCTTACGATGTAAGAATACATTGCACTTCCAACAACGTCCTTAAAGGGTTATTTGTTCTCCTTCTTCGTCCATGGCGGATAATAATTACCAGTAAAGAAGAAGTTAACTTGTTTTCTGTTCAGTGAAAGTGAGGTTCACACTGCTGTTTCTAAACAGTTTAAAAATTACCATTTCGATCAAGTCACTCTATGCCAGGAGTTTCTTAGAATCCAACTTCGATAATTCCGCTTAAGCTGCTAACGTTAAAACGCCTTCCACTAGTAACGTACATGTGATTCAGGATGAGTAGGTAAAGTGTCTTAAATACGCCTTCGAGAACAAAAATTGTGATGTTTGCGTCATAATGTATACGGAGAACTATTAACTTGTTGCAATGAATGGTGTCTCAGTTTAACAGCAGTGCTCATATAGTCATATTATATTTTTGCGAGTTTTTACCCCATTCCTAGACTAACAATCAGCTTTGGATAACAGTGTGTTGCTTTTAATCGTCAGATGATGCGTGAAATTGAGAATTGTCTGTCAAAGAAGTGTCATGGCCGCAAAGAGCCTACTAAAGAGGAGTGTGAAGAAGTGGCAGGCGCGGACAGTTTCTTACCTCCATATGAACCTGAGAACCGTACAGGAGCAATAGTCACCATGGAGAACAGCGTTTCTCTCCTTAGCATGTAATATTACGGAGCTTAAGCAAACACATTTTTGAGCAACGCATATCAACCGGAAGTAGACTTTCTGCATTCTTGGGCAGTAGTTTTTCCCAAATTTTCTAGCCTGCGTTACTGGCAGGATTGTTGTGCCCGGGGTACTTTCTTGGCGGCGGAGCCGCCACACGAAGCTAGAGCGAAGCCGCAAGGGAAAATCCGCCTGCCACATTTCTTATGAGTTTTGAATGCCGCCCACTTTTGTCACTTGGTTGGAACTATTTGATTTAATAGAGCGGTGTAATACGAAACTGGCAAAACAAATTAAAACATAGTAGAGAATCAAGTCATGGACCAAACAACTACATGTAGCAAGTTATTAAGGATCCAGGCACAGTGCAGCTACTCAAAACTGAAGAAACTAAAACCTTTATTAAAACCATTATTTAGAATCCTTCAACCGTTTTTCTGTGCCAGTTTTCAATGATCAAGCGCTCTTTTGATGTTAAGCTCGGATGGATCGTGGAGTTTGCAATGCATGACAAAAGGTGAAAGAAAAGATGGGCTTTTGTTATAGAGCCAATTTCCTGTCGTAAAACGAGATTAGCTTCACATTAAACGGGAAAAAGCCTCACTTACGGTTGCTGTACGTGGCTGAAAATCGCCTTGGCTTAAACTCCCTATTGGCTTTTTCAGGGCTGCCAACTGTTTATTTTTGTTTTGTTCAGTTGGTCTTGTTTTTGTTATTAACCTTTAGGATCGTAAACGAACTTGCTCTTAGGCTACTTGGTTCCCGGGCCCACTGTCTGCGGGTACTGGCTCAAAATGGTATTGTGTTTACACCTTTGGTTCCTGATATATAACTGTGTACACATTTGCCCCATTTTTCCCTGTCAAGTTATTTTGAAACGTAAGTGAAGCAGAAAGATATGGAAAGGAAAGCAGTGGATTCCCTCGAAATGAATAGAAAACGTGTGCACACGGGAAGCCTGTGCCACTTTTAATATCCCCACTGAAGGACAAGGTCTGGTGCCCGGGCACTAAGTTTGAACATGGCCGTAGTAAATATGCTTAGCAGAGGAGATCCCCCCCCGCCCCCAACAAACACACCCCTTTAGATGCCTGCCCAGCTGGCTTTATGCTACCTTAGACGTTCGCGCCTTCCATGAACTGGTATTATTAAGACCGAGTGGACTACGCTGCATAAATGCTCTGTTTTCAAACTAAATATTAAATACTCTCTGACCTGGACTGTTTCTCTATCTTACTATACTTCAGGTACTGTTCCATGTTGCCAAGTGACAGATTCACGCACCTCAGCCCAGTTTACAAGATAGAGGAAGTTGAGGAAGACGGAAAAAACGTATTTAAGTGTGAACTGGAACTGCCAAATAACTGCCAGCTGCGAGGAACTATACGTGTGAGTGCAAATAAAATCACTGCTCTGACTCTAGCGTAGTAATCTTTAAGCTTTAGGCCTCCCAACCTCGTCAAAATATGTCAAAAGTGGCATATTCGCTGAAACGTCTTCACTAAACGTATGTACTCCAAAAGCGTACAATGATTCAGAACGATCGTAGTTGCATTTCGAAAGTACACAGTCAATTCATCCTTTGCTGAGATTCATAAATTAATACACTTGACAACTTTTCTTCTGTTCCAACAGGGCAAGGCGATGCCACGAAAAAACCTGGCAAAAATGGCTGCTGCTCTCTACGCCTGCATAGAGCTTCACAAGATTGGCGAACTTGATGATAATCTCTTGCCAGTCCGCATCTTATCAGATGATGAAAGTGAATCAGAAGAAGAGGACGATGAGTCTCCTGGAAAGAAGAGAAAGAAAGCAGGAACAAAGAAACGAAAGCAAATTTATGAAAGAAAGGTAAGGATAATCCAGGATAAACTCCTCCGCCAACCCCAAATAACACGGCTGTGATGTGGAAATTTTTTTTTAGCGCATAATATACGGAACTGTGTAACCTGCCCACAACATTTGCTAATAGGGAGTTAAGGCAACCACGATGGCAAAAGCAGGGAAAACGTACTGCATTAAGTGCATTCGCGTTCTTGAAAGTTTTATCGCGATTAATTTATGTCGTTCAATTTGTCAAATGCATGCAAATTCTCCAGGAGTAAAATCCTTTAGAGTTCATTTAGGTTCAAACAGAGAAAGAAAATATTATCGTCGTTTGCCAAGTCCTCTGTTAACTTACTGGGAAATTTCGCGTCGTATTCGTGCAGTGACAGCAAAGAAATGTACCAAAAAATGTGATGCTCGTACTGAGTTGCTGTTTTGCTCCTTAAACTTATTGCTTTTCTCCCAATCCTAATATCGTCGCCGTCGTTGTTGCTCAAACTCCAGTTTGAAGCACCTACAGAAATACACACTTATCCGCAGGGGTTTGGGATTTAAATCTTGGTCGGACCAAACTCTGGGTTATAAACGGTTAGAATTTAAAATTACTGGGCTGATCACTTAGAACGGACAGTCCCGTCTCAGCTTCAAAACTGGCCTGCGTAGCAAGCACTTCGCTCGAGTTATTGCGCGAAAGTTGGTACGAGAGCAAAAAGGGAGGGAAGGGGAGAAAAGGGAATTGTTAGGTTTGCGTGGCAAGCGTTTTCTTTTCTCCCCTTCCCCTCCCCTACCTTCCACTTTTTTTTACCCCCGTTCCAACTTTCGGGCAACTAAGCTCGAGCGGAAACGCTTTCCTTGCAGGCATGTGAGATGGAGGAGAAGAGATCAACATTGAAGAGCTGATGGTGGTTGTCGCCTTTTTAAGGGAACGTACCATGTCTTTCTCGTATGCGCCATGGTACGACTCACTTCCATCATATTTGCACACAATGTAATTCTTTCTTTTTTTTATTGCTTAACTAGGTCGCTCAGGTATTCAGAGGTAGCTTGCCGCAGAAGAATCTGCCCCAGTATCTCACAGCTATCACTATAACCATCACCAAACTCACTAACCAACAGGCCCTTGACGTGAGCCAGCAATACTTTACAGATGGTTTCTGCCACCTGTTCGGTTTATTGACGAATGTTCCAATTCCAGCGGTTAGTTCTAGTTCAGTCAGATGTTAGCTTTGATAGTTGGCTGCTGACGCTTTTGCTCGCGGGTAAAACTTTAACCCTTTACCTCTCAAAAGAGTCTAAAAGCCTGAAAAAAAGGCGTCAAATTTCATTTTCGAAAAAAATCAAGGACAAATAAATAGTACAGCGTGAAAGAAATGTCACACAAATTTTTCATTTTGATGTAAGTAGTTACAGCCTAATTCATCAAGAATTCACAGTTTGAAGCTGGCAATGAAATGGTGCAACTGAATTGAATATTACGTGTTACTTCACATAAACATTACGATCATGAATATACGGGTTAAACTAGAACAACCTTATTGATTGATTGACCGATTGATTGGGGGACTGATTGTTGATTCAATTATAATTGATTAATTGGCGTTATTTATTTAAATCCAAAGGTGAGATCATTCAAACTTTATCCCGACTATGGAGAAGTTACAGTAACAATAAAATGTCACAAGTCACCACTGCGGACAAGGATTGCAAGACAAGACTTGACAACTATTAAAAAATTCCACTGTTTGTTGTTCAGCCAAGTTCTTCGCGAGCCCGTGGAATTCAGACCCAAAGGGTCCGACGGCAGTAAAGATGGTTATTTGGTAGTTTTAATGAAACCTAATGGATGTGAAGTGGACTTTGATTCTATGCGCCATGCTTTAACAAGGCAAACTTCACTGGAGGGGTCAACCGGTGAATCCAGAAGGATTGAAGTTGACATGGTAGTCTCGAAAAATTACTTGGAGTCTCGACAAAAATTTGCAGTTTTAAGAGTACGCCATGATCTGAGTCCTATGTCACCCTTCCCAGACAAATCTAAAGCCAAAACGTATGAAGGCTACTTCCGAGAGCATTACGGAAAGTCTTTTACAACCATGAGACAGCCTCTCATTGAAGTAAAAGACATTTCTGGAAGGGTCAATTTCCTGGTGTACAGAAAGGTGGCAGCCAAGAGCGAGGGCGACGTTATTCGTCTTTTCCCCGAACTATGTAACGTACTGCCTATTTCTGCTTCCTGTCTCAGTGTGTCTCTGATGCTGCCATCAATTTTACACCGTGTGAACGCGCTCCTGCTTGTTGGTGATGTCAAGGAAATGGTCACTGGAGTGCGTGACAACACAGATGAATCTAGCCTCCCTTCAATTGGTGCTGGTGATGCTAACGACGCAAAGACTTTAATCCGCAATGACAAGGACAGCTTCTCATCGAAGATGGACGTGGGTCATGAGGATTATAGTGATGACAGTGAGGACGATATTGATGACTTTCCACAGCTGTTTTCAGATTTAAAATCACTGTTCAGTGGAGAGCGAAGGGCTTCTGTTCATCCCGACTCCGCTCTCGTGCTTCAAGCTTTGACCACCACCAACAGCGGAGACGCCTTTAATCTAGAAAGGCTCGAGATGCTTGGAGACGCTTTCCTAAAGCTGGCGGTTTCACTTCACCTCTATTGCACCTACCATGATAAAGATGAAGGGAAATTGACGCAGCGCAAGAAAGGACAGATCAGCAATTTGGCGCTGTTCCGTGCGGCTGAAAGAACCTCTTTAGCAGGATATCAACAGAGCACGCAACTTGCACGTGATGTATGGTGTCCTACGGGATGTCAGTATAGTTCAGAAGCTACAGAAATGGAAGGTGATGATGACGGTAACTCTGAAGAGCAGGGCTTTGGAAGCAGGCAAGACAAGTGCAACACTCAGGTCATATCAGACAAATCTGTTGCTGACAGCATGGAAGCTCTCATTGGAGCGCATTTGATTTGCTGTGGTTACACCGGAGCACTTCGTTTCATGAAGTTCCTGGGTCTTAAGGTCCTTCCCACGGATGATGACATCAACGCTGACATTGGTAAGCTCGCTGAGAAGAGCAGAGAAGGGTGTTATGCCAGATTTTGGCCTGAGCAGGCAAACAAACGAGAAGCTCCCCAAAGTCAAGATATGGTGGCACGGATGGTCTCTGGCTTGGAGAATTTTGAGCACTCCATTAAGTACACTTTCAATTCCAAATTGTGTCTGGTAGAAGCTTTGACACATGCGTCGTATCACCCTAACCGCGTCACGCCCTGTTATCAAAGATTGGAGTTCCTTGGAGACGCCTTGTTGGATTTCCTGGTAACACAACACCTTTATTTCCGTCACGAAGAATTGTCACCCGGTGAGCTGACGGATATTCGCCAGGCTTTGGTGAATAACAACATCTTTGCAACCATTGCTGTGAAATACGAGTATAACAAGTATTTGAAAGAGATGTCTCCGGATTGGTTTAGATCTATCGACAATTTTATTACTAGATTGGAAGACAAGAAAGAAGAGAATACTAATCCGGTAGGTAGAACTTAAAGTCTTTCACTACCTTTAATGGAGATTGATGTTTGTTAGCCGCCATTTTAAAAAACGTTCAGAGAACACCGGGTATCAGCATGAGGAGTTGTGTTTTATGTGGTCGTTTGGGTAATCAATACAAGCAACAGCTACCAATCACAGCACATGTTGGCTGCCTAAACAATTGCAGACATCGTAGCAGGGAAAAACAGATTCTCAGGTTCCCAAACATTTCTAGACGGGAAAATGTTGTTCTTTCACATGTTACTGGCCCCAGTTTTTCTGGCCAGGAATGAGTTCAAAAATAATTGAGAGAGGGTACCATGACCTTTCGCTTGTGATCCGCCCTCTCCCCATGGTAAAAGTTGCTAGCAATACAAGAACATGTTCAAAAATTGGAGGAACAACTTCGAATGAAGGGGTGAGATGGGGTAAGTGTTGTGTCTCACAGTTCTGTGACTAGCAGCAATTGTAAGTCAAAAAAGGTCGAAGTTCCGTCGGAGCGTATCAACACTTGGCTCCGAGAGGTGAGAGGTTTTTCTGCGGGAGCTTCTGTTCTCCCGCCCTTCAAAAACCAACACCATCAAATTGCAATTCGATCTGGAACAGACGAACACTTTCGAAAGTGTTCCTCGGAGGTCCTAGGTTTTTCTTGGGTAAACATATTTCATTTTTTACAAGTAACCTACAGGTCCACTTTATCTCCGTTCTAGATGACTGAATAGGCCATTAGCACGTAGGCGGCATTAAGCTGCAGCCAGGCTATCAGGATCCTTCAGAGTTTTTCTTGTCCAAGTTACGACTAGGTACACTAAGTATGGCAAATGAGGTACAGGTGACAAAAGGTAGTGTAGTAGTTAAAAGAGACTGAAACATCTTTATCCGAGATTCCCTTGTTCATATTTTTCGGGTTCCTGGTGAATCTTTTGTGTCGATTAAGCAAAGCGAAAAAAGACGCTGGGATTTTCTTTGTATTTTACAGGGGATTGCAGATCCATTTATCATCGTATCTGAACAAGACGAAGAAGGGATCGAAGCTCCCAAGGTCCTGGGTGATATTTTTGAGTCCGTGGCTGGTGCAGTGTTTATGGACAGCGGTATGGATTTCACCAAGGTCTGGGGAGTGTACTACCGCATGATGCAACCTTACATTGGTATGACATCATTTTTCAAAGTTAGATAATGTCCCCTTCTGGTGACCCGACCCACCATTTGTACGGGCATCGTCACCCGAGCCCTAAAGGACTAGTCCCCGTAAAGTATTAGCAAAGACGGTACCTCCTTTCTCGGTATTTAAAGACCTTGATGTATATAATCACATGATTTGAGGATTGAACGCGCGACCTTCTCCCAAAAAATTGGGGGAAGGGCGGTGGGGGTACAATTTGTGGATTGGCTCCGTTCAGGATGTTTAACTCTAATATGACGGCTATTTGTTCGAGTATTAGAGCGGTCGCGCTACCTAGCCACAATATGAAGGGCACCATTTTTTAGACAAAAGATAAGTCTTTGTCGTTTTTGAAAATTGTCAGTGTGCGCGCATGTACGTTTATAACAGGGAGCTCTCTTTAAGGGTTGAAACGAATTTAAGCGGTGCCACAAATTTTCTGAGGAGCGTCCGTCATTTTATAGTGGTTTCTCCCCGAAAGGTTCCGCTCTTGAGACCTGCGCCTTACCAACTAAGCTTTCAGTGCTGTGGTTTGAAAAATCATTTCTCAAAGTTTCCGTCTCATGATAAATAAAAACTGTTACTGTTAACTTGACCATTTCGATACTTTTGCATGTTACCATGGTCAAACTCATTCAACAGGTTGCAACATGAACTATTACCCTTCGCACTATATTAAAGAAATAAGTATTTGTTCTTTGTCAGACCAGTACTCTGAAAACATACCAATCAATCCCATCAGGCGCGTGTACGAAGAGGACAACGAACTGAAATTTAGGTACGTGAGTGAAAAAATATACATATTCCCGTGTAGGATATACGAGGTCCTGAAAAAAGGACTTGTTGCTCTCAACTCATACTGTTCGTTTTATAGGTTTTTACTGTTTTCTCTCTTTTGCATGAGTTTTTCAAAAGTACATTCAAAAGTGCATTTCCGAGTTTGAGGATGACCTACTCCAAAATGTCAAAGCATCAACCACTGTCACCCAAAGTTACGAAAAAATATTTATACGGACGGAAGGTTATAAGTGTGTTCAATCATTAGTCACCAAAAATAATTAACCAAATGTGTTGAGAAGAAAAGATACTGTAATACTAGAAACAAAGAGAGAGAATCACCTTCACTGAGATATTGATTCCAGATTAGTTTCATCGGCAGCAGACAAAAACAGGTACTTACATAGAGGCAATACCCTGAAAGTTGCTTACAAGTTGACACTAACAATAACTAGTTTTTCTAGGGCTGCGACCTCAGACAATCTTTAAAGGACTGCCCTTATCACATGGATGGTCGCAGAAGACAAACTGTGTAGTTTGTAACAAAAACAATCGTTTAAGGAATGTTGTTTCCTTAATCATTTATGAACTGAGTTGACAAGGAAAATTGGCCATTGTAATTCTAGAAACAAAGCGATGGAGAATAACCCACACTTAGCCGACACTGACTCAAGACTAGGTACATCATCAGCAACATTTTCAACGACTGTTGACCTCAGAGACAGGCGAACTCATTTATATAATTTCTGTTTATATCTTTAGCAAAGCCGAAGTTCTTGCCGATGGAAGAGTCAAGTGTACTTTGAAAGTTCGCTGGGGTAAGTTCGTTGGTTATGGCAAAAACTCCAAAATTGCCAAGCAACCGCTGCGAAGCTGGCAGTGCAGGCGCTGGACAAGAACAAGTCAAGGAAGTAGTTAAGCAAGGGAATAAATATCACCATGGTGACGTTTGCAGACAGAAACCGTTCAAGACAAGAATTTAAAAGTTTACAGTTCAGCCTCAAAGGAAGGCTTGCTGACTTTTATTAACTATAATAAGCTAGACTAGAAGTTTATCCGGATTTTAAGTTTAAAATTTTGCTGATAGTTTAAATTTCCCGGATAGATGAATCAACACAAGTTTATAATATATATTTTTTCGCTGTATAATTAGATTTCCGTCTCGATATATTTTTGTCTTACCATAAAAGACTTCTAACACGTTTTATTAGTTTGATACAATATTTGCTTATCCTCCCATAAACTGCGAATAGTCAAAAGCTTAAAGGCAACGGAAGCCTTCCAAAGGATATCTAAAAAAGATGCGTTTATCTAATTGTACAGCTGCACTCGCTGAAAAACTGACCAAAGTATCAAAATTGTTGGATAGCGTTGAATTCCCTTTACAGTAATTACGTCCAAAATGTCCAAAAATGCACAACATTTTACCCCACTGCTCAGGAAACTTGAAATCATAATTTGTCTAATGTAGCGATGATGACACAATTAGCAATGCTGTCAGGGGGTTGATTTTCAAGGTGAATCCAAAACTTGAAAATGTTCATTGTTATTTNCAGAAACCGTTCAAGACAAGAATTTAAAAGTTTACAGTTCAGCCTCAAAGGAAGGCTTGCTGACTTTTATTAACTATAATAAGCTAGACTAGAAGTTTATCCGGATTTTAAGTTTAAAATTTTGCTGATAGTTTAAATTTCCCGGATAGATGAATCAACACAAGTTTATAATATATATTTTTTCGCTGTATAATTAGATTTCCGTCTCGATATATTTTTGTCTTACCATAAAAGACTTCTAACACGTTTTATTAGTTTGATACAATATTTGCTTATCCTCCCATAAACTGCGAATAGTCAAAAGCTTAAAGGCAACGGAAGCCTTCCAAAGGATATCTAAAAAAGATGCGTTTATCTAATTGTACAGCTGCACTCGCTGAAAAACTGACCAAAGTATCAAAATTGTTGGATAGCGTTGAATTCCCTTTACAGTAATTACGTCCAAAATGTCCAAAAATGCACAACATTTTACCCCACTGCTCAGGAAACTTGAAATCATAATTTGTCTAATGTAGCGATGATGACACAATTAGCAATGCTGTCAGGGGGTTGATTTTCAAGGTGAATCCAAAACTTGAAAATGTTCATTGTTATTTGTAAATTGAGAGATACTATTTGATACCAGACTGAATATGTAAAATGCACTGGTAATGTTATACTTTAATTACTGTAGTGCTGTATGGGGCGATATCAATATAAAGAAATTAGCAGACAAACTTCAAAAGATGCAGAATAGGGCTGCTCGAATTCTCACCTTTTCCAGCTATGATGTTCGCTCAAGTGTTTTGTTGGCTGATGAGCTTGGTTCGGAAAGGTTGGAAAATGTAATACTTAAACAGTTGGCTGTGATAATGTATAAAATCCATAATGATCTTTCCTCATCGTATCTGAGGCGAGTCTTTACCAGCACCTCAAATATACACACACAAATTCCGAGTTAAATTATTATGTTTCCAGACCCAGAACTGAGTCTGCAAAAGGGAGCCTACACTACAGAGGATCTCTTCTGTGGAACAGGATTCCCTCAGAGATTAGAAAACTGCCTATCTTAAATGTTTTTTAAACTTCATTTCATGGGAAAAATTATTTTACTAGTAATAATCCAGTTTTTTTGTATTTTTTAACTTTATAGTCAAGTAGTTCCTTAGGCCCGGTTCAGACGCCGAACTTTTCATGAGCCGAACCTAATTCGAATTAAGGCCGACCCAAATTATTTAGACCGGCTAAAGTGATTCAGACGCCGATCTTAATTCCAGCCGAACTAAATTCAGAAGGAGAAAAATGCGCATTTCGGTCAAACTGCTTACAAAATACGTTATAAGAATTTCTGCATTTGGTTCGGTACATGAAAAGTTCCGCGTCTGAATCAAAGGCGTTCCAAAGTCGATCCAAAGGCGAAATTCCCGGCCCGGCTAGGCGAAAAGAACGGCTGATCCGTTCCAAATTGAAACAGGCGTTCCTAATTGATTCAGACACCGAACTTTTCATGTACTTAATTCAATGTATTAGGTTCGGCTCATGAAAAGTACGGCGTCTGAACCGGGCCTTAGAGTATTTTAGTTTAATTTTACACACGATTCCTAGGAAGACCATGTAGAAGTGATACGATTTCGTGTATAAATAAAGATTGATGATGATGATGATGATGAATTTCGGTTCTAACTTTATCCAACTAAAATTTCATTCACGCTTCTCTTCAGACGACCTCACTTAATTAAATAATGTCTCTTTATGAGTATGAGCTACTTTTCACGGCCGCCACCTTGTCATGCGCAGTAAGAGATGTGCAGTGCAAAACCAGCGAATTGCCATTCATGAAGTGTACAACGGCGTAATATCGGAAAAATGTCGGAAAAAGAAGTTGTAACTGAGTCCTCTTTGTTGTAATAGGAACTTTTATAACCGACAATGGCAACGGCAAGGACAATGCCCGAGTGAGACTGGCGAGATAACGCGGTTGCGTCTTGAAATTTCTGCCAAGAAGAACGTAGTAGAACCTCTTAATTCCTATTTCTTTTCGGGTAGAGAGTAGGGCCAACCGGAAATAAGCTGCATCGCGCTCAAGTAACCAAAGCCCATGCGCGTAGGTAGAAAAAAAAACTTTCAAACCAAACCTTTAATATTCACGATACCCGCCACCTTTGCATGCGCCGAAGGAGTCGTGAGGACTTATGGGATAAAAGCAATGTCACGTGGTTTCTCAGGGGAACCAACAAATGAAAAAGGGCGTTTTCCATTTGCCACGAACTTTCGGAAACTTCCATGAAAAGATCCATCGATGAAAAACTTGTTCCATTTGACACAAGTTCCATTCGTTTAAACTCTAGTCACCAGCATTTAAGATGGTGGCACAGATACCTCCGTGAATGGCCTGAAACTGGTGATTCCTTGTGAAAGCTCTTAAAAGGAACATGCACTTCCACCGGAAAGTTTCCAACGGGGAAATAAGGACTACCTTTTCAAAATTCCACTTCTTCCCAGAATTTTTTCCGTGGAACGTACGGGAAAGCGTGTTTGCCATTAACATCCCAACCGGAATTTCAGAAATTTCTTGGTAAATGGAAAGCGCCCTAAATCTGTTAATACAAGAAATCGTGTTCGAGTTTGTTTATTATAGACAACAGAAGATGAACAACTTTTCAACTTAAACAGGATAATAGCAAATTATGGGTGGAAGTCATCGTTTTAACTTTTTTGAATGCAGTGGCCACCGAAGATATCCTCACAGCAAGTGATAATGACGTGAAACCTGTCAAAACTTAAACTAAGCACTTTGCAAACTAAAACTGTCGTATCGTTTGATAGAATAGGTCTAGATAAACTCGAGAACGATTACGCGTATTGGCAAATTTTAACACTTGTTTGACCCCCTAAAAGACCACGTGACATTGCTTTTATCCCATCAAAGCGGGTGCAAAGCTGGCAGATATCGTGAATTCGCCACTTGCACATCTCCCATAATGCCGGCCTTATGTGCCGCCCAAAATTTTGCCTAAGCGTTGTTTTCAATTTCTCTCGGGAAGGCTGTAATATCCAGGAGAAATGAAAACAAAGGTCATGCAAAATTTTGGGGGGCAAATGAGGTGCATTATGGGAGATGTGCAAGTGGCGAATACGAGGTCAAACTAAAACAAAGCAAAACATTCGTGGCAAAAAAAATGCCCGATACATTAGAATTCTTTGCCGGATAGTCATGCAACGCTGACCAGGACTTACAGACACTGAATAAATCAAAATATACCAAACTGGGAAATATTAGATTGCATGGGCAGTAGCCCACGCTAGATATATTAAAATTCTAACGTGACTCTGAGGCCTTCTGGTCATTTTTATGCTTTGTTTCTACTGGGAATTGCGAGACGATGGAGTCGTG